CTCCATGTAGTTTGGGGGAGGCACAACACCCTTGGCCAGATTGAGGGCAACAAGTGGTCTTTATTCAAGCAACAACCGAATCTGTATCTCGGATGTCTCGGTCGTTGAAGGTAAGTTTTGGGCCCAGCTGCCGTAGTTTCGGTCAGAAGGTACCAGTTGAGGGCTCGGGGCAAGCTCGGCGGAAGTACGGGTTCTGCTTCATCAACCAAAATTGTTGTCTCTCAGCAGTCCGGGCGTGCTTGTTCGGCGAGAAGAGGACGGCTGTTGAGAAGGAGGGCCACAACAGCACGGTTGCGATTGGCTGAGGTGCTACTTCGGGCCTTGTTGTCTCGGTTAAAAGAGCCCTGACTCTGTTCTTTTTCGCCATCTCTTCTTCGGCTGTCAGTGGGATCAGTCTGATCTCGGGCAAGGTGGGGTCCGGTTCTGGAGCGTCTTCAAGAAGAAAGTCAGTCACTCTGGCTTTCCGGCGACCACTATTCGGATAGGTCGGCTCGAATTGCAGCAAGTTGGCCCAGCTACGTTCAGGATATCGTAGTGCGGCTCGTAAAGTTGCAAGGTTTGTGATAACTGTATAGAGAGTAAAGATGGGCAAAATCTGCGAGAAAAGACAACTGTTAGTCCGGCTGAAACATTAAAACGCCGAAGTAAAAAATGAAAGAAGAAGACCGAAGTTAAATTACCAGCTCTCATTTTTTTCCAATTTATAGGTCGGCCAGGAATTTGGGTTTGAAAATCCTCAAAGTTCCCGGAGACCCAAAAAAAATCATCGTCATTAAGGTCTTTGTCCGGTGTATATTTAACTATCTTCTCTCGGCGGCGGCGAATCCTAAGGTAATAGACCCACCCATCCTCTTTTGAGCCGATGGAGTATTTGATGGAAAATTTCGGCCAGGCCAAGATTTAGTCCGACTTTTCGGTTTAGTTCGGCTATTCCCACGATGATGCGGTAGGAGTTTGGTGAGTTGGGTTGGGCCTAGTCTGGTCTGCCTAAGAATTCACAAAATCACGGTTGAACCGGAAACCGTAGCCCAGTTTCTATGATGGATAAAAGGGTGAAGGGACGAAGCCCTCATTTATCCAAGGAATGACGTCTTTTTCGGCCAAAACCAGTTAGACGTCGTCAGGGATTTGGTAGTCTTTCCTGAATTCGGCTAGGCCCGCCCGGAGTATCTACTAGGTATCTATACTTCCCCATCTATCGTATAATTTAAGAATAAGTTATTTCGGATGCAAATATTTTGTGCCCAGTAGCTCGGTCGAGCGCACTCAGGAGTGCCTGGGCAACCTAAGTCTGCAAAGTAGAAAACAAAGGGGTTAAGCACAGATCACTGGACCGTGCCACTACATAAAAAGCATGGTTAAATAGAGCCCTACTTCGGTTTTAAAGACAGGTTCTACCTCGGTTCAGCAAAAATGTTTGGGAGCTCGGCGTTTGAACAAAAAGTGCTTATTGACCAAATCTTGGAAGACATCTCGGCGCGTACCGGCTTTGGAAACAATTTTTTTAGACCGGTTCAGTCTTAGGGGCAGCTTTCTGAGTTCGGTCTAAAAAACTAAGAAAGCTGGTTCAGCCCAAAGGCCTAAGTCGGTTGAACTAACAGTTTTGTTATTTCGGTTGAGCCTAGAGGGCAGCTTTCTGAGTTTGGTTTAGAAACTAGGAAAGCTGGCTTAGCCCCAAAGGCTTAGCTCGGTTGAGACCGAGGTTTCCTAAACAAAGGAGTTCGAACTTCGTTCGATGGACTTATCTCGGCAAGAGTAAACTCAAGAATTGATAACCCACTGAAACTACTGTTTCTTCTAAAGTTTTAGTTCGGTTATTTGCTAAAGTAATCTACCTATATAAGACAAACAGTATTCCTAGTTCGGTTGCTACATGATATTTGGATCTAAAACTAGTTTTTCACAAAATGATCCACACACATGTGTTTCTACAGTTAAAGTTCTTTTTATAGAAGAACAGAAGCAGCAAAGCAGAAATGGAGGAAAAATGTTTCACAAAAACATAGAAAGCAAAATATGAAAACAAACAAAGCGAGAGGTTAGATTTGCTTACCAGAGCAAGAAGGAAGAAGCTTGAAGATGGAGGTAGGGCAGTAATGGAGGGCACGAACACAGTGAGCTCAAACTCGGGGCCTCAGGAACAGAGAAGAGAAGAAGAAAGGATTAGAGTAAAATGATTGAAAAAATGAAAGGGTGGTTTTGTGAAAAAGGAAGAGAAAAAAGCGGCAAAAAAGGGGCGGGACTGTTCAAAAATTTCGTGGTACGAGGGCGGCGTGATAACAGCTCACAGCCTATCAGGACCTTATGCCTGCCACGTGTCATTGGAAAGTGAAGCGTTACACAGTCAGTGATTGAAGAGACGTTTTGACCGAACAAAGCAGAGCCGGAGTAAAATAAGCTCGGCTGGAACGGCTAAAACGATGTTTTAGTTCGGCTGGAAAAAGCTTGAAAACGTCTAGCTCGGCTGGACACTTGGTAATCCCAATCATGCTGCGCAGATGGGATTAAGGGACAATTGAGAGGGTAATTTTGAGTGAAAATTGGGCCGAGCTATGAGACGGACTTTATGGCCCAAAGTATGACGGACTGAGTAAAAAGGGTCGAAAAGTTACTCAGGCCCAAAGGAGATAAAGTTACTCCGGTCAAAAGAGATGAAATTACTTCGGCTCGTGAATTGTTAAGCTACTTCGGTCCGAAAGCAACTTGAAGTTAGATCGGTCTTGAAGGTACATCGTTCTTGAATTTATACCGGCTTTAGAGGTATACCGGTTTTGGAGTTATACCGGTCGAAGAGTCGTTGGTTCGGTCCAAGCACACCATGAGTTGAACAAATGAGAACCAAGATAAGGAAATATAAGCGGAAAGGGCCAAACTAAGGATAGTTCGGCCTACTTTGTGGCTCAGCATAGCCAGGTTTATCTCGGTCGGATGATAGTTCGGCCATGGTGAAAACCATCCCACTTGGTTTAAGCAGTGGGGGGGTGTAAAAAGATAAGCATTATCTTTTAGGAGCATGAATCCTAGGAGGACTCTGCATGGAGAAATAAAAGTCCTACTAGGATTGGGCCACTCGAAACCTATAAAAGCTCACAAGCATTACCTTGGAAGGGGTAAGATAACACAACATACAATTTTGCTTTTTTGACTTAGGCATCGGAGAGGTTTCCGGCACACACCCGCCGGCTAGCTCACGTTTGTGTTTTTAGGTGACAAAGCGACGTCGTACGGAGGAGCGTGGACTTAGTCAACAGGATTATACGAGGAGAATTATTTCTTCCCCGTACAATTACCTTTTGCAAAAGCAATGTTTTGTATGTATGATGAAATGGGTAAAATACAGGGAGTAAACTTTTTTGTCCCCTCAAACTCAATGTAGCAAATACAGAAATTAGTCTTTTTAAAATATCGCTTGCAATAAGATTTTTTTAGATCTCATACACATCAAAATGAAATCTTATCTTGCTGAGCTTTTGAAATTTGAAATAATTGACAATTTTTTAATTTTATTTTAAAGATTTTGTTGGTGAGTTTTAGATGACAATATAAATAATCTAAGGGTTTGTTTGGGATGTGGGTTGGCTTTTTAGTTTTTTTCTTTTTGGCTATTTTAGCATGAGACTAAAAAATCTCATTTGAGATAGGCTTTTTAGCTTTTCTTAACTTTTGTAAGAGAAGAAATGAAATGATTATGGTTTAGATGTAGTATTTTGTCTTATTGAATTAAAAAATCTATTTTATTTTAATTTTAATTATTTTAGCTAAAAAGTTTCAGTTTAACTTGTGCCAAACGGGGGCTAAGATGATTGAAGTGAGATGATTGAAGTGATTCTAATCACTTGCCATTATATCCAACCAATTGTGTGCTTAATTTTTTAAATAGTCTTATATTTGTTATCACGTGAGAATATATAGGGTTGCAAACGAGCCAAGTTGAGCCAAGTCGAGCCGAACTTTAGTATGTTTGGGCTTGTTTATTAAGATTTTAACGAGTTCGAACTCGAGTTCGAGCTGAATAAAAATTTAATGAACTGAACTCGAGCCGAGTTAGCTTAGGCTCGACTCAAGTTCGAGCTTGTTTACGAAACTTAACGAGCCAAAAAATTTATAAATTCATACTTGCATGTAAGGCTAAAGTTACAATTAAAACTTTGATTATACAATTATTTATACAATATATATAAATATACTAAAAAAAAGCTCATGTTTTACTAAAATAATAATATAATATCTACTACTACTATTATATAAATGTACTATCTATAGTTAACTATTATTTACATTAATATTTTTTAAATATATAAATAGCATATTTCTCTTATTTTTTATACATAATTTTATATTATTTAATATATAAATAAAAAATATTAAATGAGTTACCTAACGAGCCGAGCATATGCATATGAGTGTTAGAATGTTTGAATTTGTTTATTAAAAATTTAACAAACTCGAGCTTGAACGTAAAAAAAAATTAACAAACCGAATTCAAACAAACTCTTATCGAGCCAAACTCGAACTTGTTTACGAACGAATCTTTTCAATTACAGCCCTAAGGGTATATAACTTATTGCTATACAGCGGACAACTATTAAGTGGTATTTTGCAAGCCTAAAAACAATTACTCCGAAGAAATGAAAATGGGACAGGTTGAGTACGTGGGCGGCCTCTCTCAAACATACCTAAGGAATTTTTTTTGGCGTGTTCTGTTTGGCACCAACTTAAAAATATGCTTTTTAATAGACTTTTTGTCTTACTCAAAACTTTTAATTTGTAAAAATTTTAATATAAGAGAAGAATAAAAGTAAAATGAATAAAAAAAAATGAAAATCACTTTTTTTTTGTTGGGTGATACGTTTCTAATTGTTTCAATTGACATTCATTCTTCACATTTTAAAGGCTTTGATGCACCACCCTCACGAGGTAAATAAGACCCCCAATAAGACCCAAAAAAATAAAAAAAAACTAGAAAAAACAGCTAATAATACCAAACAAATCTAATTCAATGTTCAAAAAATAATTAAATAAGAAAAAAAAATAAAAAGGAGTAAACCCAACAAATGGTCAATTCCAATCAGTTCATGGAACTCCCCCTCCCAAGAATAAAAATTAAAAATAATTGCACAATTTAAAAAAATAAAAATAAATATAAAATAAAAATAACACTGCGCACTTTCCACCCACTTACTTACGCACTGTGCGCATCTTAAGATTGGCCCGTTCAACCTTTTTTCTTTTTTTTCCTTTTTTTCTTTTTTTTCTTCTTGCTGAAATTTTAGAAAAGTGGCTAAGGTGGGGTCCTCGACTCTGGCTAAGGTAATTATACCGTTGATAACTTGGTAAGAGTTAATGGCTAGCTGCATTGGGTTCAGTTTATAATAGTGAAGGACCTCGCGAAAGAGGATATCAAGGGGAAGCCTAAGACCACACTCAGTGAAGGCTACTACTGTGAAGGGCATAGAGTCATCCTTGGGCATAATGGAGTCTTCCTACCCAGCCAACCTGAGATGAACGTCGGCCGGGATAGAAAACTTCTGCCTGAAATATTCTAACTTGGTTAGGGTGTCTACCCTATACCTTCATATATCCACGATGTCGGCTTGAGGAGAAGGTGTTGAATTTCATAAGGAAGTGTTTTGTGAAGGTTTGAGGAACCTCGGCTAAAAACTGCAAGTGTGGTGGGGCAAATTTTTCTAAAAGATCTAAAGGGTTTTAGGTTCGGTTTTCCTAAAGATTAAGGTTCTACAAAAAATCCCAAAACCTAAGTCTATGGAAACAAAAATTGAAGGCAAGAATATGGAAAAAACAGCAAGAAAACATAAACAAAAACATGATTCAGACTCGAAAAGACAGGCAAGAAATCAAAGAACACTGAATAAATTTGTGCAGGTGTGCAAGGCCAAGAATAGTGGCAGAGTGGCCAAGAATCAAGAACTAATTGGACAAGCACAAAAAATTGCAAGACAGGACTTGCTCAAAACACGCGCGTGATAAAGATTGAGGCACAGATAAAGATTGAAGAACACAAAGACATTTACCATGGCAATAGATAATGAAATTCTAAACTAAAAATGGGGGAAAAACAGTGACTTACCACAGAAAAGAACGCCGATATGAGATGCGCTGGAGTTTGATGGTGGAAATGGGTAAAGCAGAGCGGAGAGAGCTTCGTCGGAACAGAAATAGAGTGATTGCAGAGAGCTTCGAAGGAACGGAAATGGCGGTTTGAGAAATTTCCATAAATAGGGGCTCAAGAGTGAAGAGAGAAGTTGTGTTTGCAGAAGTGAAACGGCGAAGAGAGAGGAGAGTATTTTTGTCAAAACTGGAAAAGGCGGCAAAATGTAATTAGTGTGCCTAAGACGACGTGCTTGTTAGACGACACACGCAAATGTGACGCGACTTAATAGCGCGTGTCAGGTACAGTTCAACGGGGAAGAGACGCATGGCAAAAACAGTTGAAATACCGTGCGTGACAGCTTATACACGTGATAAAACTCCTGGAGTTCTTGATTTAATGAAGCTAAGACCTCGGCTGGAGGACGTTCTCGGCTAAATAAACTTGAACAAACTTAGTTATTGGTTCAAAAGCATTGATACAAACATACTGAAGCGTTTATCATATGGAAGCCGATGTGTGACAACCTCGGTAATTAAAGGATAGAGTAAGCTTAGCCGACGTGCTGTGGGTTCGAATAATATAGGTTCCATCACTTTAGGACGCCGAGGTAATAGAACCTAGGAGGCAGTTGTGGGGACATATTTTCTGGATAGCAACACGTGGCCAAGGTGGCACCAAAGTGCCTGCCGAGGTGTCACGTGTTCTTGATTTGATGCCGAGATGATCTCGGTTAGGCCGAGGTTATCTATGGAGATACTGGAATCCGAGATAAGCGAATAAGTTACAAGAGTCCTAGAATAATGGAGAATTTCAGCCTGGATAAGGATAAAACTCTTAGAGAGTTTATCTTTATCTATTTGAGAGTCCTGGATAGGCATTGAGCTAGAGTCCATTAAAGTTAGGCTTCTACAGGGATCAGGTCAGTGTTGGTTATAAAAGTAAGGCACCCTCGTGTGTCTAAGGTACGCTTTTGATATTCTGAATAGTGAGTTAAGCACTTTTGCTATCTTTGAGAGATAACTAACTTGATCGTCGGAGTGCCCCCTGGTGGATGAACCACCGCCGGAATCTCATCTCTCTGTTACAGGTCGTTTAGGCTCAATCTATTCTGCCAGTGCTTTCAATCTGTTACAGAAAACAACACACACAATATTAATAAACTCTTTTCCCATAAATGTGTAGTAATTTTATGGAAATACTACCGCATGCTAATTTCTAAAACTTTCTACAATATGTAAACATGCACAACAAGAAATTAAGAATATTTTTTGTAAAAAAGGTAGGCTTTACTCAAGTAAAATTAAATTTAAAAATTATGGAGGGTTACCGAAAAGGGACTGATGGAGGAAAAGAAGAGGCAAGGAGATGATCGAAGCTAGTGGTGACGGGTATAGTTAGGGTTAAGGTTACGGTTAAAGTTAAGGTTAGGATATGATTAGAGAGATTTGGTCTCAATTTGGGTTAAATTAGGCATAGTCCTAAGAAATAAACCAATTTGATCGGATTCACTATTTTAGACTTAAAATAAAGTAGTCTCTTATACACATCAGCTCATATCACACCAAATTTATATCTTACAGATTTAAATTTTAGGAGAATATTTTTAAGGGTTCCTACTATTAAGATTTTATAAAATAAAGGACATATAATATTTTCACAGTAGTTAAGGTCTCTTAACATTCCCACGGAGAAAATTCAACTTAGGGAAATTTCGCCCAAACTCAGAGAAATTTTCAATTTTCACAGAGAAATTTCGAAATTCTCTGTGAGTTTGGTGAAATTTCTCAAAGTCGGACAAAATTTTTCTAAGTCAAATTTTCTTTGTGAAAATGTTGAGGGATCTTAGCTAATAAAAATAAATATCTTAGACCTCTCCTACTACACAAAATTAGAAAGGGATGTTTCACTAATTTTTTTTCTAAATTTTAAATATTTTTAAAGATAAATTACAAATATAATGCTTGAGATTAGTCAAAATTATATTTTAGAAATTACAAATATCTTCTTATTGTAACTTTCTTACAACTAACCTAACAAGAAAAAAATTAAATAAATAAAGGTCATGTTTAGTTTGATTTTCATAACTTTATTTTAGAATTTTGTTTTAAAAAAATTAAAAATTAATTTGGTGAAAAAATAAATACACTTATCATTTTTATATAATTTTATCTTTTAGGAAGCTAAAAATAATTTTTAGAAATTTAAAAATATCTTTTTTGATATTTATTTTTATCAAATTAATTTTCATTTAAAAAAATTTGATTTTTTTTTTCAAAAAAGAAACCAAACATGGCCAAAATTACCCAAATACCCTTTAATACTAAAATAAAATTATCACACTACCTTTATTTTCATCCACCTACCTCTACATTCCTCTCTCTACACCACCACAATATTTTATCCTTCTCGATGGCACAATAAATACTTGTAGACAAGAATGAAGGTAGTGGTGATCGGAAGTGAGAGGGTAGTGCGATAGTTGGGTAAAGTGGTGTTACTAGTTGACATAAAATATGGAATAAGAAAAGTTAGATAAGAAAATGAAAAAATACAATAAAATGTTTAACTTTATAAATGTTAATATAAGTATTTCTGAAGAAAAAAATGGTTACTTCATACATTTTGTTAATTTGATTTAAGGATTGGTATTTGACAGAATGACTTGCTTGTTATGTGATTAAAAACTTTAAAAAAAAAATAAGATTTAATTTCTCAAATGATAAAAATTTATAATTTTAATAAATTTTAAGAATGTATTTGTAATTTATTTTATTTTTTTTATACATTGCATCTCTAAACCATTACACAATTGGTCACTTTCCTTCACATGACATTGGACCCGACAACACAAAAAGATGTGAACCAATGAAATTTCGAAACACTTTTTTGAACCACATATCGGTATATGTTTCTAATACTTCATTATGAAAAGCAAAAGAAAACAACATATATACCACAAAAGTTAACAAGGAAAGCCAAAAGCATGGGCATATAATTCTGATTAGTCCTCACTTAGCATCAACTTATAACTGAATTTTCCCGCTTAAAAACAGAAAATAAAAATTAAATTACCAGTTAAACTAGTCTAAATTGTTTCTAATACTACAATCCTTTTGGCTTTTAAATACCAAAAAAAAAAAGAAAAAAAAAACTATTATATTAAAGATTTTGTTGGTGAATTTTAGATGACAATATAAATAATCTAAGGGTTTGTTTGGGATGTGGGTTCGCTTGTTAGCTTTTTTATTTTTTAACTATTTTAGCATGAGGCTAAAAAATCTCATTTGAGATAAATTTTTTAGTTTTTTTTAACTTTTGCAAGAGAAGAAATGAAATGATTATGGTTTGGATGTAATATTTTGTCTTATTCAATTAAAAAATCTATATTATTTTATTTTTAATTATTTTAACTAAAAAGTTCCAGTTTAACTTATGCCAAACGAGGGCTAAGATGATTGAAGTAATTCTAATCACTTGCCATTATATCCAACCAAGATTGGCCATAAACACGTGGCACATCCAGGAGACTCCATATGGTTGGCTAATCATGCGTTGTCTCCCTATATATAGGGCTGTAAATGAGTCGAGCCGAGCCGAGCTTTAGTATGTTTGAGCTTGTTTATTAAGATTTTAACGAGTTCGAGCTCGAGCTGAATAAAAATTTAACGAACCGAGCTCGAGCCGAGTTGGCTTAGGCTCGACTCGAGCTCGAGCCTGTTCACGAACCTTAACGAGCCAAAAAATTTATAAATTCATATTTGCATGTGAGACTAAAATTACAATTAAAACTTTGATTATACAATTATATATACAATATATATAAACATACTAAAAAAAACCCATATTTTACTAAAATAATAATATCTACTATTATTATTATATAAATGTACTATCTATAGTTAACTATTATTTACATTAATATTTTTTAAATATATGAATAGCATATTTCTGTTATTTATTTACATTAATATTTTTTAAATATATAAATAGCATATTTCTCTTATTTTTTATACATAATTTTATATTATTTAATATATAAATAAAAAATATTAAATGAGTTACCTAACGAGCCGAGCATATGCATATGAGTGTTAGAATGTTTGAATTTGTTTATTAAAAATTTAACAAACTCGAGCTTGAACGTAAAAAAAAATTAACAAACCGAATTCAAACAAACTCTTATCGAGCCAAACTCGAACTTGTTTACGAACGAATCTTTTCAATTACAGCCCTAAGGGTATATAACTTATTGCTATACAGCGGACAACTATTAAGTGGTATTTTGCAAGCCTAAAAACAATTACTCCGAAGAAATGAAAATGGGACAGGTTGAGTACGTGGGCGGCCTCTCTCAAACATACCTAAGGAATTTTTTTTGGCGTGTTCTGTTTGGCACCAACTTAAAAATATGCTTTTTAATAGACTTTTTGTCTTACTCAAAACTTTTAATTTGTAAAAATTTTAATATAAGAGAAGAATAAAAGTAAAATGAATAAAAAAAAATGAAAATCATTTTTTTTTTGTTGGGTGATACGTTTCTAATTGTTTCAATTGACATTCATTCTTCACATTTTGAAGGCATTGATGCACCACCCTCACAAGGTAAATAAGACCCAAAAAAATAAAAAAAAACTAGAAAAAACAGCTAATAATACCAAACAAATCTAATTCAATGTTCAAAAAATAATTAAATAAGAAAAAAAAATAAAAAGGAGTAAACCCAACAAATGGTCAATTCCAATCAGTTCATGGAACTCCCCCTCCCAAGAATAAAAATTAAAAATAATTGCACAATTTAAAAAAATAAAAATAAATATAAAATAAAAATAACACTGCGCACTTTCCACCCACTTACTTACGCACTGTGCGCATCTTAAGATTGGCCCGTTCAACCTTTTTTCTTTTTTTTCTTTTTTTTCTTCTTGCTGAAATTTTAGAAAAGTGGCTAAGGTGGGGTCCTCGACTCTGGTGGAGGCGTGTGACCGCCTGATCCTTTTGATGGCTCATCCGACGATTGTCGTAACCCATCATCAGTCTCACCCCGGTTGATTTCCTCCATCATGCGGACCACCTCAGGCATCGATGGTCTCTGATCCGGTACAGTCGATACACACGCCATCGCGATCTGCAAGAGTTGCACCATCTCTTCCTCGATGTTTTGGTATCTCATCAGCTCCACATCAAAAACCTCAGCCGTCCATTCCTCACGCACCACCGATTGGACCCACCTCGGCAAGTCAATACCCTCCTCACCTAACGAGGCCTGATTGGGTGATTTGCCTGTCAACAATTCTAATAGTAATACTCCAAAACTGTAGACGTCAGACTTGAAGGTAACTTTGCGAGTTTCAACTACCTCCGGTGCACGGTAGCCCGCCACCCGGTTTGGCGGCGTGGTGGAGCCAAAGAGAGGGTTGAGGCCAAAGTCCGACACGCAGGCGTCATGGTCCTGGCGGAGGAGGATGTTAGAGGCCTTGATGTTCCCGTGGATTACTTTTCCCGACACATGTAGGTGTGCCAACCCTCTCCCTGTGCTCAACGCTATCCTCATCCGGTTGTCCCAATCCAATGGTGTCCGCCCCGAGCCTCTGCTCCCTGCAAAAACGACAACCAGTACATTGGGTCACTGGCCTACTCCAAATTTGTGGCAAATACGCAATAATTTTGGGAACTAAAATTTCATTTTGAGTACTGTCCATGAAATTTATAAAGGGAAATTGTAATTCAGTGTATATGTATTTTAATAATTAAAGTTATAAACTTTTCATGAACTAAAAAATATTTTATAAAAATACCTCTAATTTGCAATTTCCCTAAATTTAGAAGCAGCATGACTTGAGTTTGCTCTTTGGTGAAAAAAATGAAAGTTAATTTCTATGATTAATTTACTTAATTATTGTGAATTTTACTTGGTAACTAGCAATAAGCAAAACTGTACAAATATATTAAACATAAATATTCAAAATTAAAAACGTCAACCTCAATAAGGTGCACCAAAATATTTTGTCGGGTAAAATCTTTTAAATTTTAGTAAATTTTTTTTTCCAACTTAAAACTTTTTAAATAAGTTCAAAACTATTTCCTTTAAACCAGATTTTGAATGCCAAATAACCTAGTGAAAACTAAAAAGAAGTAGAAAATTCAATGTATCAGTTCAATTTTTTTTTAAAAAAAATCAAATTTAAAATGTAGTTTACCAGTCAGTGCAAAGTGAAAGTACCCTTGGAAAAAATTCTTGTTCAATTCTAGTTATTTACAGTATTATTTATTAGGGTAAATTACACTGACACCCCTGAAGTTTGATCTAATTACATTTCACTCCTGTAATTAATAATCTTATTTCACAAATCCCCTACTTATATAAAAGATAATAACTCTTAGTAAAAAAATAGATGAAATTACATTAAAAAAAAAAAAAAGTACAGCAAAGCAAAGGGGGGAGGGAAAAAAAAAACAAGCAAATAGATAAAGTAAAGTAAAGCAAAACAAGAAAAAAGAGAGCGCGAGTTCAAAGTTTGCATTCCATTTAAACAATTACAATAAGAAGGGATTATTGTAATTTCAATTACAATAAGAAGGGATTATTGTAATTTTTCAAACGTCAAGGGTGATATTTATTAAATCCAGACCTTAAGGGGTTGTAAGCATAATTTACCCTATTTATTAACTTCAAATTTACATCACAAATTTATACAGTTGTAATTCAAAAAAAAAAAATGTATATATAGTTAGATTTTTAAAAAAATTCAACTAAATTGTTTTTTGAATTTAAGAAACCTGAAATAGGCACAAAAACTTCTAAGTTTATAAAAGTTTGATTATAGGCGTTCCTTTCAAGTGTTACCAAACAAGGAATTTGTTGGATTGGGGGGCCAAATGTGAAAAGAGTTGAAGCATGCCAGGGTAGTTAGGAAAATAAAGGTTGCGTTTGGTAGAGTTTTGTAAATATAATTTGAGAATTGTATTTTGAGTTTGTGAGTTGTGAAATTATGATTTGAGTGTAGAAAATTTGTTTGGTTATGATTTTTGAATAGAGTGTTGAATTGAGTTTTGAAAGTTTGATTTGATATGTGAAGTAAGAAAATTGTTTGGTTATGAGTTTTGAAAAGAGTTTTCAAAACTTAATTCAAATTGTTATAACTCATAATAAAACACACTATTGAAAATTCTGATCAGCACTCATAACCAAACTATTTTTAAAATTCAATTAAAAAAATTTATTATTAACAGCATATAATAGTAATCAATTTTTTAATTGAAAATACTACAAAGGAAATAATTTGTTTTCAAAAAAAATATTCAAAAAATTTAAGTAATTTAAAATGTTAATATTTTAAATTTAAAAACAACTCTACACTCAAATCGTAACTAAACACATAAAACAAAACTCAGTTAAGAAATTATTTTTAAAACTCATAACCAAACACATAAAACAAAACTCAATTAAAAAATTATTTTTAAAACTCATAACCAAACACATAACTCAAAACTTTATATTATTTTCACAACTCTACACTCAAATCGTAACGTAACAAATACATAACAAAAAATTAAAATATTTAAAAATATTTTTATAAAATAAAGTTTGAATTTATTTTTATAAAATATTTTAAAATTTAAAAAATTAAAATCATAATATTTTGAAATTAAAATATTTAAAAATATTTAAAAAATTAAAAAAATCGTAACATATTTAAATATTAAAATATTTAAAATCTTAACAAAATTAAAATATTTTTAAAATATATAGATCCTCTAGTTGCTCATATATATATATATATATATAAAGAGTGAGCTAACACCCAGTGAATAATACCAAAGTAAAAAGGCTGTAGGAATGAGATTCTTAATTAAGTAAATCACAATAATACGCATTACATATAAATCAAAACCAGAACGACCTCAGGTCCATTATTTCCATATTCATATCTATGCGTATATTCATATTCATGATTATGATCACCTTTTTATTCAAACGGCCTTTGGCCCATCATAATATGCAAACGGCCTTTGGCCCGTTATAATATTCGAACGGCCTTTGGCCCATTATAATATTCAAATGGCCTTTGGCCTATTACATTTGTATTCAGACGGCCTTTAATCCATCACATTCATATTCAAACGGCCTTTGGCCCATCGTAATATTCAAACAAATCAAACAGCCTGCAACCCAATTCATACTCTTATTAGACTTATCAAACGGCCTCAGGCCCAATTTATATGTATCAAATATATCAAACGGCCTCAGGCCCAAATCATGTTCTTCATAGAGCCTTATACAAAATTAGGCATATAGAATACTCATTCATAATTTAAATAAACAAATCCATGAAGTTTATACAGAAGTAGCATTTGGAAAATTACATACTTGAAAATATCTTTACTAAGATATTACTCACAGTGTTCAGATGTCTGGTTTACCTTTGTAGTTGACCCAACACAATTCATGATACACATAGAAATTGGGTCACAATACAATTCATTCCGTTCTTTAATTTGTTTAATTCTCTTAGGCTCTTACTAACTCTATAGCTCATTTATAATGCTTAGTACGTTCCTAAGAGTGCTTAAAAGTGAAAGAGAATGGAAATCAAAATATGAAATAGCTTTTCAAAATTTTCTTAAACAGGGTTCTTCGCTCGAGCACATATTTGGTCGCTCGAACGGTCTGTAAAGCTCTGTAAAAATACTGGGAGCTCATAATTACTAATGCATTAAAAAATTGGTCGCTCGAGCGATCAGTACCAAGACCAAAACATCACATCATTAATGGCAGGACCCACTGCCACCTAATTAGTGGGAGCACTAATTAGTGCTCCCAAGCATTTTTCTTTCAAAAAAGTCAAGCCTTCACCATCCAAACATAAATGTTTTATTTTATATATTTAAAATGATTATTAATATTATTGTATTATCAATTTAATATTATTGAACCCTCAATTTTATAGAATTAAATTATTTTAAGATGACTACAAAAACGACAATGCTACGTAACTCAAATTTTGTGACTAAAAAGTGGCTCAAATGGTCAAAACGACGTCGTTTTGAGTACAGAACAACATAAAAATGGCCAAAATGACGTCAAAACGACGTCGTTTTGGCCATTTGAACCACTTTTGAGCCACAAAATTTAAACTACGAGACATTTTCCTTACAAAAAATAACTCCAAATATAGATATTAATATATAAAGTAGGAAAAGACTATGGTCTTCTCAAATAACACATATTTAAAAAATTTATGAGCTAAAATAAAATTATAACTAAATAAAAAAATTCAACATAAATAAAGACGCCAATGAAGAGGTACATATGGTGAATTTCCCCATAAAGTATTAACGAATAAAGTAAAGATAACGTAAAAGACACCAAACTCAAAAACAACTAATTATGCGCCCCACACAGCGCATTTAACACTCTTCTTCTAAGAATGTCACACTCTAAACTTGCTTATCCTGCGCTGCTTAACCACCTTGTCTCTTTAACAGAAAAATAAAACAAAATAAAATATGTACAGTACGAGTTCAAATTATTTGAAAAAATATATATTATCCAAAAAATATACGCTCATTTTCTCTATTAATACCTATCATGTATAGAATTTATCTTTTAAATTTTAACATTATCATCTCATTAATTTAAAATCTGATAATAATTTATAATTTTTTTTCTCCCAAATTTTAATAATGGTTGATGAGAATACCACATTAAAGTACAAATTAAAATATGAGGATTAATTGTAATTTATTGTTGCATAAATTAAGTAATGAAATAAATGAGGGAAAAAAAACCGTTTAGCTTCATTTCTGGCCACAAATATTTTTTTTTAATTCAGAAACTGATAATTTAGCAAAAATTTAAATAAATAAATAGAATTTCCATGGTCCTAACAGCTCGAGCTCCATTACTGGCAAAAATTCAGAAACAAACCGAGAAAATATATAGCGAGAGAGAGAGAGAGAGAGAGAGAGAGAGAGAGATACCGTGAAGCAGAGCAGACAAGCTACCAGCAGACATGTAATCGGAAACAAGCAATTTCTCATCTTTGGAGTAATAATAAGCTCTGAGAGGAAGCACATTATCGTGTTTGATTCTACCGACAAGCTCCATTTGGGTTTCGAATTCTTTCCTGGTAACAACCACATCTTTGAGCCTTTTCACCACCACCGTCGTCCCTTCTTCCAGCACCGCCTTGTACGACGTCCCTACACTCCCTTTCCCCAACACCTCCGCCGAAGCCCTCAACAGATCCTCCAAATCGAAGCTATAAATCCCACCATCAAAGAACAACAGCTTGTTTCTCTCTGCTTCCCCTGACACCCCCGTCACCTCCATGGACGACGACGTTCCTGGATCCCCCGCCGCCGCCCCCGCTGCTCCGGCGCCCGACCTCGCTGCCGCCGTGGGTTTCTGGGTTTTCGCCGCCTGTCGCCGCCGCTGCCCCCTTCGCAAACATAGGATGAGAATTAGGATGAGGAGGAGGAGAATCAGAGCAGCTCCGACTGAGATGGCAATAATGGCGGCTTTGGAGAGCTTTTTGGCTGTTTTGCGTGGTGGGTTTGGCGGCGGAATTGAAGGCGGCGATGGGGCTGGTGAGGGGAAGAATGGGTTGCAAGGGGGAAGAGGTACGCCGCAGAGATCGATGTTTCCGGCGAATGATGAGGCTTGGAATCTGGATAGACTCGTAGGGATTGAACCGTTGAGGTGGTTGTTGGAGACATTGAAATCTACTATGCTTGATTGACTGATGCTGGGGAGGCTACCTGAAAACCCATTGTTCTGCAAGTAAAGTCTCGTCAAGTGGGTCAGATTGTTCACGGCGAATGGGATTGAACCTGTGAAGTTGTTGCTGGAGATATCTAACCGAGTCAAGCGATCTAACTGGGGGATACTCGGGGGAAACTCGCCGGAGAACAGGTTGTTCTGGAGGTAGAGGCTTCGCAGGAGCTTGAGGTTGGAGAAATCGGAGGGAATGGAACCGGAGAGACGGTTGGCACGGAGGCTGAGGATTCGGAGTTGGGTTAGGTTTCCGATGGTGTTGGCCGGAATCTGACCCACAAGGCCGACGCCGGGGAGGCGGAGGGAGTAGACGAAGGAGAGATTTGAGTCGCATTGGATGCCGACCCAGGTGCAGGCCGAGTTGGAGGAGTTCCATTGGAGGCGATTCTCGTGAGGGGTTTGGGCGAGGAAAGCAAGGAGAGCTAGCTTGTCCTGAGTCGGCTCTGAGTCGACCCGGTGGCGCAAAAACACCACCACCAAAGCAACAACAACAAAACTGTTTCTCAAAAACACTTCCATTGATTTTCTCTTTTTCTTTTTTTCAAAAACAAAAATTGAAAGAATGGGTTGGGTTTTATTTGGGGGTTTCTAGTGGCGGTGTGTGATGGCTAATTTGGGCGGAGCTGAAAGTGATTTTCCGGCAACCGGCCATGAGAGAGAGAGAGAGAGAGAAAGAGAGACAGACAGACAGAGGGGGCTTTTACAGAGAGAGAGAGAGAGAGAATGGGGGGAGGGGGTTTCACAGTCACGGGGAAGCAACAAAAGGTGTGACGAAAAGCAGAGTAAACAGAGAAGCAATTTGTGCTGGGAATAGAAGTGAAAGCGTTTTTCTGTTTTTAATATTTGTAGTAATAATTAGAGCAAATGAACAATGCCAACACTTTTTTTTATGCATCCTCACTCTCAGGTCTGGAGCGTGCTAACTATGAGCGTGGTTAAAGTTGGAAATAAAGGCTTGTGATCTTATAACATTTTTTTTCAATGGTGAAAAATAAATTATTAAAATTGTGTTCGGTTGGGAGATTGATGAGAGATATGGAAAGAGAAAAAAATATATACAATTTTACTTTTTGTTTGATTATAATTAGAAATGAGCAGGGAAAAAAAAAAAAAAGTAATTTCACTTTTTATCTTTAGGTATTTGTTTGGTTGGATTAGGACATGGAATTGGATTCCAGTCTAACAAAATGGTTAATCTAATATTTGGTTAGAATAGTAAAAGTCGGACTAATAATTCTTCATATAGATGAGATAACTCAATCATATAAGAATGACTCATCTCCATACTCATATCATGCATATTTCTCCATACTTTATATTTTATGCTCATAATAATAATTAAAATTGTTCATTTTGTAAATCTCACAATAAATATCATCTATGAAAAAAATTACTAGTTTTATCGGATATCGATGAATATATGAACAAATCACTTTTTGTATAATAGAGTGAAAGGTTAAGTTTAAACTTACAATTATTGTCCATTAAAAAAAATATTAGACAAATTTTTTTTTATAAAAAAGATGTAATTTATTCATGTATCTAATGATATCCGATGAAACTAACTTTTTTTGCATAACTCATTTACATTGTTGTGATTACAAAACGAATAGTGTAGATTATCATTGCGTGCCTAGAATAGAATCCAAAAAGTAAAGCATGGAGGATAAAAGTATGGAGGAGAACTATTTCCCAATCGGCGTAGTAGGGGTGTGAGATAGAAATGGGCGGATTGAGAGCCAACCTCCAAATTAGCTAATTAAATGACAAAATTAACCCTCAAATATATATAAAATTTATTTCATGATATATAATAATCTTCTCTTATATTATTTTTTTCCTTTTTCTTTTTTGTATTAACAAAATTATAAATGAAGATATACTTTTAATGTCGTATTTAAATAAAATTAAAAGTGGTATTTGTAAAATAAAATAAAATATATTTCAAATTTAATATTGCCATTGTAAACAATTTAAACAATATATTTCATAATTTTTAAATTAAATAGATTCACTAAAATAGTCATTTCTAAACATTTAATTTCATAAAAAACAAACATGAGATATACATCATTTTCAGCGAAATAGTTCAAGGATTATATATGCTAGGACTATCAATACTTTACATTGGGGGTGTTTGGTGCAGCTTTTTTAAGCCAACTTATGACTTCTGCCTTTTAAAAAGTTATTTTGGACTGTTTGGTTAAACTTATTTCAAACAGCTTCTGATTCTAACAACTTATTTTAAGTCAAAAAAGCTGATTCTGAGAAGCTGCTCACCCCTTGCTTCTGATTATCAGCTTCTGCTGTGGACATGTTAATTCACCGTTATACTCTTAGATTTTTTTATTTTTTATTTTTTTAAAAATAGAAAAAGACTTAAATGGACTATTAAATATTATTATTATTTTTTATGAAAAATGTAGACAAATAGTGAATAATAAAAAATAAAAATTAATTGAAAAAACTACTTCACAGCTTATTTAACAAACACTACTCAGCAACTTAAATCTATAATCTAACAGCTATACCAAACAGATTAACCGCTTCTGATTAAAGTCATAATCTATAATCTGTTAAGCTATAATCTATAATCTGTTTTAACAGTTACACTAAACACCACCATTATAATCTCCCTTATCCAGTTCGTCTAAACAAATATGGCCTTATTAGACTTTTTTCTTTATCCAATTCTCAATTTAACCAAGCATTACTTGGAATTTGAAACATATCATTTCTTTTCCCATTCTTTCTATGTTCCTTTTCATTTCCATTTTTCTCATCAAATTCTCCAATCAAAATCCAACCTCAATGTAAGAAATTTTACATTTATTTTTCAACCTCCCCTTAGTTTGTGAAGTTGTATTTTTATAGAAGGTCATAAATTAAACTCCAAATAAAATATGGGCCTAAGTGCTAAGGTTGCCCCTTTTAGAGGACCAAGAATGTCTAAAGGAGCAGGGGCTAAAGCCCAAGGGAAGTGGGCCAACAAATGGGCCGAAGCAATTCTGACCCGCCAAGGATCCAAATAGAGTGTCTAAGTCAAGTTGCAGAGGTACTACTTGTAGCAGTCAAAGTTGTTAAGGCACTTTGCCTCGAAGCCGCCATCTCCAGTATTGTCGGTTTCGCTGCCATTTCAAAGTTACTGAGGGAAATAGAAAACCGAAGGAACTAAGTTGGCGGGGTAATGCTTGCAGCTCACAAGTTGCAGAAGTACTTTGTCGGCGCCGTCATCCTTAATATTGTCGGGGTAGCCATTTAGACTTGTAACGGGAAATGGCCACCTCAGCAATTACAGCCGCCGCAACTAACTTGCAAATGGAAGCACCCAACCAAGGTGATAGCAGCCTTTGGGAGAGGTTTCTCCTCCGCAAGTAAAGGCTGATAGCAGGCCTAGGACTGATAACAGGTCCCATATCTCACTGGTTAGAGCTGATAGCAAGCCTAAAGGTAAACCAGTATATCACGGCAACCCCGCAAAGATGGGAGCAAGGTAGCCCGAGTGTAAGGGACTCCCTTTCCATTACCCAAGTCATGGACCTGCCTTAGTCGCACAAACAGGACTTAAGGAAGCCCCTTGGGCTTGGTACTAAGGCACAACATGGCTGATAGCAGGCTTGGCTGTGGCTTTTACCCTAAGATGTTGGGGAGTTTGTGGTTAGGTAGCTAAGGGTGGAGGTTTCACTGAGGAGGACACAAAGCATGGCTAATAGCAGGCTATAAAGTCCTAAGAATGCATATATTGACCAAACTAAATTGAGAAGGTAAGTGCAGCGACAAGGTTTTACCATTGCAAGTGAATTTGTCGAGGTTCAAGCTGAGAAGGCAAGTTGCAATGGCAAACACTCCCGCCGCAAGTGCACTCATTGAGGCATCTTTAAAGTTCACGTTGAGAAGGCTAGTTGCAGTAGCAAACACTCCTACCGCAAGTGCACTCGTTGAGGCAGTTATGCCAAACAGATAGTACATAGTACATGTAGAGGGACGCGTGTCACTTCCAGCCTGGTAGCTCAAGGCATAATATTCCATTTGATCCTCTGTGACACATGTCTTTTCCCTATTTGGCCACTTGGTGTCCTCTTGGTACCAAGGAAAAGCCTATAAATATGACTCATTTCCTAACCCAAGAGAGGCAATTAATTGGGGATTTGGGGGAGATGTTGTCCATTTATGCACTGTCATTATCTTTTTCTTAAGCTACTTGCTTCACCCTTACCTAGCTACTCACTCTCCAACTTCCCAGACAGTTGTTGCTGCTCATCCTCTAGTCATTTCATTATTGTTGGACCATTAGCATAGTTTTGCCTATCTAATCATCTTCCTAATCTTGAACCTCCCTACAATTTTAAGAGGAAATGAATCCAACTATAGAAGTTCCCCAGGCTTGGTGGGTTAATTTCGAGATCAACTAAATGGTTTTGTTAAATGAATTATTTATATAAACAATTAAGATAATTAAATTTTAGTAATAATATAATTGAGTTATATATATATATATATATATTTAAAATAAATGGAAAGTATAATTTGAAAATAAATTTTACAAAAAGTTAACAATGTTCAATCATATTATTTTTTTACATTGATGTTCTACTTAATAAATTTTACAAAATGAATAATTTAAATTACCAACTTTCGATCTCAGGTAGATCCATCAAGACCAAACATGATCTCTCCAATTAAATGTCCAAAAAAATCTATCTCTTTTAAAAAACGTGAAGTTTGAAGTTATATTTTAAAACTAAGGACCAAACCTGGAGTTAAGAACAAAATTGAAAGCCTAACTTCTCATTTGAACCATGAAAGTGATCAGGTCACTAAGATTTTTTTTTTTTTTTAAAAAAAAGATATACTAAAATACCAAAGGTGAACAAAACTCTTATGCTGAGAACTCTTATTGTAAAATTAAAGTTGTGTTTTTGACAACACAATTTCAACCTTGAAATTAGGCACATTAACTTTTAAAAATTGAAACAGTTTTTTGAAAACACAACTTAAAATTTGAAATCATGTTAATTAACTTACAAAAATTGAAAACGCAACTTTAAGCTTTGTAAAGGGTCAGAAATTAAACTCTAAATTAAGTATGGGCCTAAGTGCTAAGGTCGCCCCTTTAAGGCGACCAGGAATGACTAAAAGAGCATGGGCTAAACCCCAATGAAAGTGGGCCAACAGTGGGCCGAAGCAGGTCTGACCCGCCAAAGATCCGAACAGACTCCATGAAAGAAGATGTCTAAGTGAAGTTGTAGAAGCAACCTGAAGTTGCTGAGGGAAAGAATAAACCGAAGCAACTAAGTTGCAGAGGCAACACTTGCAGCGGCCAAGTTGTGCAGGCACTTTGTCTCAGCGCCACCATTCCTAATATTGTCAGTTCCACCGCCATCTGAAGTTGCTTTGAGGGAAGGAGGAATCTGAAGCAACTAAGTTGTAGAGGCAACATTTGCAATGGCCAAGTTGTGAAGGTACTTTGTCTCAGCGCTGTCATTCCCAATATTGTCGGTCCCGTTGCCATCTGAAGTTGTTGAGGGAAAAAGGAAATCGAAGCAACTAAGTTTCAAAGGCAATACTTCTAGCGGCCAAGTTGTAGAAGCACTTTGTCTCAGCGCCGCCATTCCCAATATTGTCAGTTCCTACCATAGCCATTTGAAGTTGTTGATAGAAGGAGAAAACCGAAGTAACTAAGTTGCAAAGGCAACACTTGTAGCGGCCAAGTTATAGAGGCACTTTGTTGGCGTCGCCATCTCCAATATTGTCGATTTTGCCATTTGAACTTGCTGTGGGAAATGACTGTCGTAGCAACTACAGCCGCCGCAACTAAC